ATCAAAGCAGCACTATCCAGTTCCACACATTTCATGAGAATGATAAAGAGCTTTCCTTTAAAAGGTTGCTGGAGATACATAATGACATTGCGTGGGGCTCTACACAATCATAAAAGCGACTAAAGCAGGTCAATCCTTGCGCCCTCACAATCGTGGGCGTTTACGTTAAGACCTCAACCATACGTGTGTCGGTCGGGAGATCCACGATGCGGCGACACCGCCAAAGCTGCGCTACAAGTGGTAGTGTCGCGCGAGCGGCACTGGCATCAAGACGTAGCTGATCCAAAGTGTAAGGCTTACCGTGTGTCGAGTAAGCTATTCAAGGGAATTCTGCTAGTTTCTGTACATTGCCTCAGAGTGGGATCCTCAGTAGACACTATAACTATGCCCATTACAGCTACGAAGGTGTAGCGCGGCTTAGGGCGGGAAGGAGGGAAGGGAGGGGGGGGGGGGCATTCAGTTAAATCCTGTCTAGGTGACACTGAGGATTCCATTTCCCCATCTGTTTACTGCTTTCGTTTCCAGCGTTAGACGGCATTTATTTTGAAGTATGAAAAAACGATTACGAGCTACACCTACATAATGTCGCGCGGGTGGCACTCGCCTCACATCGAATTAGGAGGGATGAAGATTCAGGTTTAGGTATAGGAGCAAGGAGCTTAAGGGTGGACAGGAGTTTATGATGTCCCCCTCTCCTAAATGCAAGTGCGCTACAGCAATATGTGGAGTGCATTTTGCTATCAGGGTCAAGCATCATGTCACGGAAAGGCGCCCGGTCGTAAGGGCTGTCGAGATATTTGTCCCATTTCCCCTTCACCATCCTTCTCGAAGGAGTATAACCCTACCTGCAAGCGACTTTTGCAAAGCGGAACGTGGTATTTGTGATCGCTGAAAAATCTACTCTGAATACTCTGAAGCAATCGTGCAGCTTGCAAGACAGATCAAAAATAACACAGAAAATTTCTGCGAGTGCGAGTTTATGGCACCTCAGTGGGCACAACTTCACGCAAACGTGATAAGCAGAAAACACAAGAACTTGAAATAATCTCCATGTTGTCCCTTCTTGAAACCTCGGCATGATGTCGAATATTTCAGTTACTTCTGCCAAACGAGGTTTTTAGATGACACCTTTATTGGCCTTAACGTTTCGACCTTCTCGTCTTCTTCAGAGGCCGAGGTATCACCGTGCGGAGCTCAGCTCACGCAGTGGTTAGTTGAACCAGTAAGGACGAAAAAATTCGTCCTTACTGGTTCAACTAACCCACTGCGTGAGCTGAGCTCCGCACGGTGATACCTTCGGCCTCTGAAGAAGACGAGAAGGTCGAAACGTAAGGCCAATAAAGGTGTCATCTAAAAACCTCGTTTGGCAGAAGTACTAAATATTCGACAAGAAATTTGAATTTGGAGATTGTCCTTCCCACAAGCACAAAAATTTCTGTAGATTACTCCATAAGCCTCCCCCCCCCGCCGTGTGGATTCTGCTGACGGCTTGCATCAGCTACAACAAGGGGAGAGGGTTCTTGTTCTACATTGAACACATTTCCACATGGAAACCTCGTAAGGTTCTCAGCACGCCTCTTTTACATGTGCTGAATAAAATTGGTGTGAAAAAAAAATGCGTTGATCAACCCTCTAAAAAATTTGCCACGCACTGGATTCCCCTTCAGATTTATGGTGATGTTTATAGGAACATGGACCTGTGAAGCAATTTTGAGCCAGCTGATGCGTTCCTTATTGTGTTTAGACAAATGTAACTTATAGCTATGGTGTAGCTTAATCTACATAAAACTGCTTTGTCATGAATTCCCATATGCCCAACTCGGCGGATGTACCATGCTCGGCGGAGAGGCACAAAAGCAAGCGCACCGGTTCACTGCTGGGCACATTATTACTTGGGGATTCTGGTCGGATCCGTATGATCCCCCTTTTTTAGGAGTTGGCACGACCCCCCCCCCCCCCCTCTGGCCCTCTGGTTCCCTTCTCATCGAGCTGTCGAGGGAGAAGGTTAAGAGCACACACATGTGAATCGGAAAAACCGCGACGAAAATACCTCACCACTTTTTCCAGAATTCCCCAAAAAATTTTCTACTTTTACCCAAAAATGTTGCCGTTAAGAGCGGGGGGGGGGGGGGGCTGGGTGTAGTACACATGGAATAGAAAAAACCACGGAAAGTCAGCAACCCCTCTGGGACGGCCACAAGAGAATACGAAAATACAACCTCCCCACCCCTCCTCCCAAAACAACGAGCAAATACGACCCCCTCCCTTTACAACGTCCGTGAAGCGAGAAAAATCAACTATCAAAATAAATTTTTCTCAGCCCAAATACGAACCCCCCTCCTAGCGATCAAATATGCCCCCTGTTGGGGAATCCCCAACAACGATGTGCTCTGCTTCAACCAGCACATATGACCCCTGCGCATCCACCACGTAGCGGATTCCGCGACACACGTACCCTGATCGCCATGGAGTCCACTATATTAGCTCTGATCTGCACCACAGCGGCTGTTACATTCGCATTGTACACAGGCGAAAGAGGCAGATAAATCATTTATTTCCTTGAAAAATATCACCAATCTACAGAAAGGCATTCTACAAATAGTACGTGGTAGGACACTTAGATAACATTCCGGAAATCAATTTTATCTGATCCGAATAATTTTCTGAATTCTCTTGTCAGTAGCGTGTCCAATGCTTCATTGTCGCGACTGTATATCCACCTGAAATAGAACAAAACCCCAACTGAGGCACAAATTTTGGCGGCATCACAATCAAAAGTCTTCACAATTAGAAGCACAGAAGGCCGGAGGTCATCAATAGTTAAGTCTAGTTGGAGGATCGGACTGCGCTCAACCTTGCAAATATACACTTTAGGCGATTCGAAGGAGTCGTTGGGTCGTCAACTATGTCAAAGCACCTACCGGTGAAACCTTTACCAAAGAATCCCACCGAAGCTCTTCGTTTCAAAGCAAAGCAAAGGTAAATCAACCTACGAAAGTGAATGAATGCGTACTGAATATCTGCGAGCCAGGGACTCCTAGCACTTTTCCTTCCCTGATTTCCATTCCAACTTTCCTATGACCCTGACCTGACCCATTGGTTACATGACAACTAGAATTTTTGGTGGTTGTCCTGGTGTGAAAGGCCAAAGAGCAGAGAAAAAAAGTACAGCGGCTGCCAAGGCATCAAAAGCGCGCAAAAAACAAGATACGAGCAAGCGAA